GGTGGCGTTGGAAAGATCATTCCACAAGCTTCACAACCATAACTGGAACTATTTCTAACTCATCATGAGCTGGAAGTTATGACTGCTCAAAGTTGGCCAAAAATCACTGATTTCCATACTTAGCCAAATTTTCCAGATTTTCAAATCCTTTCCAAAAATGAAAATTTTCAAATTCTAAGCCTCTTCTTAGCTATTTCAAATTGTCGGATGTTACACTGATGTTGTGACCTCTGTTACAACAATATCCACATGTCATTAAAAGTCCTTTTCTTAAAGATGAACAAGCCCCCTCTCTCTTCCTTGCCTCATCCTTCTCTCTCTTTCTTTTTGACTTTGGTCTACCAACCATTTTATGTATTTCTGGTGGTTCCATTGCATGTTCTGGTTTCACTTTCCAGAATTTTTCACCTCTAACTGGTTGTAATTTATGCATATAAACAAACATGTAAGCTTCCTTTGAATACCACCAATGCACCTCGCTCATCGGAATTTTTTTCTGGTAAATCAAAGCTTTGATGGCATGGGAACATGGTATTCCTGTCAAATCCCATACCCTGCATGTGCACCTCTTTAATTGAAGATTGACGGTATGCTTGTCTTCACCTTCATGCACTTCATATCCAAAGTCTCCATTAAAATGAATTTCACACCCTTGTGCTATTTCTCTGTAATCAGTCAGCAAATCCTTGGCATATGGACTGATTTCATCTCTCCAATTCCTACATTCCTCCTCACGATCTTTCAGTAATTTCATTACCTTTCAAACAACGGAAAATCCATAATTAACATGCACTCGTTAGCATTTTTTATGAGTCCGAGTAACATAGATAAAGTAATGACATAGTGTGCTTAAAATTTTATAAACATCAATGTTATAAATACATAAAATTGATAGTAATATAAGTGACAAAAATTCTAGTAATGAAAAAAATTATCAAAGACAAAGTAATAGTTAAATACCTTGACTCTTATCTCTTCCAACATCTTGATAATTGGTTTGTGTCTTGCCTCTAAAATCCATTTATTGAATGATTCTGTAAAGTTGTTGTCAACCATTTGATTCTTGCATTTGGTGTCAAAATAAGCTCTACACCATTTTTGGGGTGGGTAGCCTATTAGTTCTTTGGCAGCCATTTCAGAAACAGTCCCTAAAGTTGTCAATTGGTCATTGAACTCTTCTCCATAAGCGGTCCAAGCACATCACCACATTAATTTTTTTATTAGTACACCCCTCCAGTTCTTACTCCAGTTAGCTTCTATATGTCTAGCACACTATCTGTGATGTGATTTAGGAAGTACATCATCAACAACACCAATCAACCCCTATAATATCCAAAACAGTTAAGTAAATAAGATAAGATTAGTAATTAAAAAACTTACAACACAAATGTAAATTAAGTTGAGAATCTATAACCTTTTGCATGTCTGATATAAATGTAACTCATTCACCCTCCCTCAACTCTAAAGAAGATCTCAATAGCTCCATAAACCACTTCCAAGTTCTATTTGTTTCTTTATCCACCACAGCCCTAGCAAGTGGATAAAAGTGTTTTGCTGAATCTTGTGCCATAGCAACCAGTAAAATTCCCTTGCATTTTCCTTTCAAAAATGTGCCATCCAAACCTATTAGAGGCCTCAATCCTGCTTTCCAACCACTTTTCAAAGCTTGAAAGCACACATACATTCTCAAAAATCTCTTTTTTCCTTCTGTCAAAGCATTTTTTGATATGTTTATAACCACATCTGTACCAGGATTACTATCCCTCAATTCTTGAGCATAAGCCTCTAACCTATTGAAATCATCAATGAAGCTACCCTCTAATTCCTCTAAGACAAGTTTCTTAACTCTCATTACATCTTAGAATAACTAATATTCAGTTTAAATTTATGATCCACGTCCACCCTCATTTGTTTGATCTTGTACTTAGGATCATATTAGACTTTGTTCTTGAAATAGTGTGCTAAAACATTAGGAGTAGCTCTTCTATTATGAAATGTTGAATCACATTCATGTTTTGTCTCCAAAGTCTTGATTTTAAATCCTTGATCTTTATTATCCTTAGATATCAAGCACACAAAAGGGCATCCAGTATCACATACATATCTAAGTCTAGTAGTGTCTGATTGTTTTACTTTAAGACCAACCTTATAAGCAATTGCATAGAATCCCACAACCCTTTTAAAAGCTTCAAACAAATCTTTAAAACGCATGCCTTTTTCCAAGTGTAAAAACTTGTCAAGCTTTTCACTAACATCTTGAGTTCTTTCCTTTCTAAAGAGTTCTAATTCTTCACTGTCACGATCACTAGAGTTAAGTCCAGCATTTTTCTCCTCATCAGATGAATCACAATTTGTTCCAACATCTACCGCAATATTATGACGCTCATTTTGATCAATGATGTTAGGAGTAGAGACAAGTAGTTCACCTTCATCTATAGCATATAATTGAAGCTTACTGACCTGGTTAGACAATAAGGGTTGCAATGCTATAATGCTAGGAGATGGAACAAATAATTCATTCTCATCCACAACATATAGTTGAAGTTCATTGAACTCGGTACACAGTAAAGATTGTAGTGCTATAATGCATGCATCATTCTCAATCAGAAAGTATCTACCAGAAGGCCCATTTACTAGTACCTGCTTCACCTTACTGAAACCTAACTTTTCAGTATACTCTGCGCAAATATCTATGTAAGATAGTAAATCCGCATCAAAATCTTGCATCATGTGCTTCAACTTTTTAAGATACATCACTTTAGGTTTCAACACCCACTTGCCTCCATAGTTAAACACCAAATCGACCTTCTCAATCATTCTTCAAAAAGAGTACATGAAAAAAAACAAGAAAAGGGACCATCAGCATCATTCAAAGAATAGGTTAAAGAAGTCAATATTTATTACCCTAAAATACAGACAAGAATAAGAGAAAGGGTCCACAACAAACTATAGATAAATAAACAAAACATTTTTTGAATAAACTATTGCAAAAGAGAAAGAGAATACACCATATCAATAACTAAACACAATATAAAGAAATATTAAAAATCAAAGTTCAGATAATAACAATTGAAAAGGGACCACTAAAAATCGAGAACTAAGTAAAGAAAGACGTAAAAACTGGACCACTAAAAGTCGAGAACTAAGTAAAGAAAGACGTAAAAACATTCAAAATATTCGAGAGGAACACTACATGAAAATTTCAGAAACCCTAAGCCATGAAAATGAAAAAACGACCTACTTAGAAGAGAGAAGACTTCAAAAATCAATGCTCCAACTTGAATCCCTCAACTTCAACAAAGTATTGCACTGAAAATCTAAGCCATTTTAGGTGAAATTGATCTTGAAATTGGTTAATAAGAAGGAAATGAAGAAAAATAGGTTATTGGGTTTAGGGGAGAGGAGATGATTCAATTTTTTTTATTTATGATGGATCATTTTAATTGGGTTTGGGTCAGGGATGTCAAAATGGGTCGGGTCGGTGGGTAGGATAAAGTTTAGTGTGTTAGAATTTACTTTAACCAATAGAAAGACGCCACGTAATAATTAATAATTATTAATAATAATAAAGGATGTCAATATGGGTCGGGTCGGTAGGTAGGATAAAGTTTGGTGTGTTAGAATTCACTTTAACCAATAGAAAGACGCCACGTAATAATTAATAATTATTAATAATAATAATTAAAAAATATAGGGTTGTTAGTTTAAAGGGTAATAGTGGACCAAAAAGGTTGACTGAGGGGTATTTTTAACCCATGAAGGGTATTTTTAAACCTTTTCGAATAGTACAAGGGTATTTTTAGCCCTTTTTCGTAAAAAATATCCTTCTGTACTTGAAGGATTTTGTGATGCAGATTGGAACACTTTATCAGGTGATTCTTGTTCTACCACTGGTTATGTCTTTACTTTAGGTGGTGGTGCTATTTGTTGGAGATCAAAAAAAGTAAACTATAATTGCTAACTCTACCATGGAGGCCGAACTAATTGCTTTAGCTTCAGCTAGTGAGGAAGCGAATTGGTTGAGAGATTTATTGTTTCAAATACCTTATTTTGAAAAACCAATTCCTCCTATTTTAATTCATTGTGATAGCACTGCTGCAATTGGTAGAGTTCAAACCGTTATTACAACGGTAAATCCAGACCTATAAGGAGGAAACACAGTAATGTAAGATCGTATTTGACAAATGGTACCATTAATGTTGATTATGTCAAATCTTGTGATAATCTTGCAGATCCTCTTACTAAGGTCTTAACGAGAGAGAAGGTCTGGAGCACATCGAGGGGGATGGGATTGAAGCCTATAAATCCTTGAGTCATATATGAGGAAACCCAACATGGGGACTAGAGATCCTATAACCAAGTTCAAAGAAAAAAACTAATCATATGATGACTTGTTGTGAAAAATGCACTATCTTTTTATTCCCTTCCTATGATGTGAGTGCATTGTTTTCTGTAGTTTGTGAAGGTTGAGTTGATAAAACTCATAATGAATATATGTAGCATGTGTGGGTGAAGTGTTAAGCTTACAGGAGCACTCTTGACAGATTTCACCTATGTGATGTGCGGAAGTAGGTCGCTTCCTATGAGAATTGGGCTTATTCTCAAAAGAACTCATGAAACCGGGATAGCACATGGCCATAATGTGCTGGCTTTAAAGCTCATGTCAACACCTTGATTATTATGTGTGAGCAGTGATATATTATTTTCCTTAAGCAGTCATAGTTCAAGTCTGAGACTACTACGACTCTGGAGTAAAAGTTATTGTTTCACTAAGTGGAGGTTCAATGCAGAGCACACTTTCATTATGTATAGTAGTCTTCCTTCAACTGATAGATTCTCTTGGTTAATATTAATGAGTGGGGGATTGTTAGTGTTTGGGCATTTTAATATTACAAAAATATTGCATAGCATTGCCACAGTGACCGTTGCCTCAGAGTCGTTACTTCCTCTATTCATTATTGCATTAGAATATGCATTGGTTGACTTTCATTTGCTGTTATATGTTTGGGAGTTATGGCAATTACTTTGTTGCCGTTGGAGTGGCTAACTGCTGCATTACAACTGCATTACTCCATTAGGAGTTATTGCCATATGCACTTCAGTTTTGCAACAGATGCAAAATGCCGTTGATGGCATTAGTGTCTATTTGATTGTCACTCATAATTTCTCCATTATACCTTGTAACATATGTAACTCCTAAGGCTATTATCTTCACTATTTACTACACAATTTATCTTTTTATTCATTGCTAGGAAGACTTCTTCTAGTATAAATAGTGGTGGTTTTCATTTGGTTTGTGAGACACAACATACAAGAGAAAAATATAGAGTGCAAAAAGTTAGTCAAAAAGAGAGTTCTTATTAGTTGAAGAGAGGTGTTTCTTTTTTGTGGAGCTTTGGACTCAACTCTTATCCAAAGTTGTTGAGTTATACTTTGTGAAGACTGTTGTATCCTGGAGGGGACAAGTCAAGAGGACTACTGCTGGACCGGTGAAAACATTTGTTGCAGTATGCTTGAATCTCCTTAGATATCCGCGCCTCAGTTTGAAGACATTTATTTCTTCATTTTTATTTTCAATTGTAATCTTGTAATTTTGTTATATTTTAAGCTTTTCACTAACAGATATAACACAAAACTCTTTCACGTCTACAGAAATCCAATCACATACAAACATGATAAATAGTTACTTGCACGGGGTGTTAATATTTAACTAAATAATTAACTTTTAAAATCAATAAATAATTTGACCAAGCATACTTGACCTTTAATTAAGTAATGTGTGTGTTTTTAGTCTTTTACCAACGGAATCAAAAAAAGAATAACGAACTGATAACACTACGAAGGGGAATTCATTACTAAAAGCACAGATCATTTTATGGAAAAACTACATAAATGAATCATAAAATCTAATTAATTACAAATTCGTACACAAACTCAAAGTAATTTCTGAAATACTCATTCTCTCATAAATAATTACAGCTCATACCCTTCATTCATTAAGGATGATAATTTCCAATTAACTGATACTAAATCAGTATCATATATTGTATTGGTATCATTAAAGCTGATAATTTTCGTTTAACTGATACTAAATCATTATCATATATTGTATTGATATTATTAAGGCTGATAATTTCGCTTAACTTGAAACTAAATCAGTATATATATATTGTA